ATAAAAAATAGGTCCTTTAACAATTGACGAAATATCAAAAATAACTAGCACTGAAAATGCTCTTATTTATTTAAGTGATTGTTAAGTAGAAATAACAGGATTATATATTTAAGGAGTATATTTATATTCAATCATGAAATTTAAGAATGTTCATCAATTATTGCTATCAAATTGTTTTATATATGAAATTTAATAGGTTTCTACCTATAATTTAATTTCTTTTACCAAAACAAGAAATCAAAATTCTTTTGTATAATTACAATAAATATTTATTTCAAAAGTAAATACATATAATTTATCAACTACCAAGTTTAAATATAATTAAATGATCAATTATTTTATTAGGGATTGTGAGAATATTTAAATGTAAGAAGTAGAAAATACACCAACATAGTATATTGAGTCTTATTTGTAATAAATAAAGTAACTATCATCAGATAGTAAATCATTGATCTATTTTTAAAGTACTTCCAATGAAAGTAACTTCAATTTCTAATCTATAAATTTAATTAAAAATGAATGCTTTGGATGTGAAAAAGGATTATTTTATTTTGAAATTTCAAGTTTTAAGATTATAAATTTTATAGATTTACTTTGCAATGAAAACACTGTTACAGGATTAGGATGTGTAAGTTTTTTATAAGAGTAATTTAATTTAAATAGAATTCTAATAAAAAATTCCAATTTTATTAGCAACAAGGGAGGCAAAGGAATAGCCATTTTCGCTTTAAATGTTACTCTAAGAATCTTATAATGCAAGATTATTTTAAATTATGCATAACAACAAGGTGGAGGATTATTTATAGATTAGAGTACTTTTTTAGTAAAAAATACAATATTATTATCAAACTCTGCAAAAGAAGGTGGAGGAATATTTTTAAATGGAAATTTAAATTTGAACAATGATAATTTTGTTTCATCTTTTCTATTTTTTAATTGGGCAGAGTAATAATCAAATAATATTTTTGAATCTCCTACTCACTTATCCTTAAGTATAAATTCAGTTTAGTAATTGTCTGAATCTTTCAACGAAACTAATGTTTAATAAAGAATTTTAAAACTAAAACCATATAAAACTATTGAATAGGGAAAGGTATGTAAAAAGAATTACCTAATGATACCAAGTAACTAACAAATTAATAAATATAAATTAATACTCCCTCAATAAAATAAGGTATTTTTTTATATTTAAGAATTCAGTTTATAATTTAAAAATAGTAGAAATGAATTAATTTTAGGATTAGTTAATTCTTCTTGCATTATCAATAGCTATTCACAACAATTAAATTCGAATAAAAGTATATAATATTTAGAAAATATTTCGATATCATATAATACACAAAAGGATAATTTTGATTTAAGTTAACTTGTATTCATTTTTGATCCATATTAATAAGACTAAAAGTACCTTACAATTTAATTTACTTGTTTTGCTTAGCAATCCATAAATAAACTAAATTATCTAATAAATGCAAGAAGTTTTATGTGTTAATTGGGTGAGTTTTATTCGGAATAAGGTTGTTAAGAATGTTAATCTAATTAAGGATTTTATTCAGTTACTTATAATACTACAAAATGTTCAATTTTTGATAAAAATAAATTCTCTAAAATCACTTCAAATAGTATTAGTCTTTTAAAAGGATATTGGAGACCTCATATTTTATCAGATTATATAGATGAATGTTTTAAAACTCTAAATGATTGTATTGGAGGTTTTGGAGTTGGAGATTAACTATGTGCATAAGGACATACTGGAGGATTATGTGAAGAATGTGATAACTATGATTTAAGTGGAAATGGATAATACTATAAAGATTAACAAAATTTAGAGTGCCTTCCCTGTAATAAACTATAAGATAACATTATAGCCTTAATAATAACATCTATTTGGTATATTTGTTTAATTATTTAAGGGCTCTACTATCTATACTTTTAACTTTAAGAAGTATTGATAAATCAAATAAATTATTTTCATCTCTTAAGATTGGATAAAAGTATAGTAAAATCATATTTAAATTAAATTAAGGTAATTTAATAATTAATATTAATAGATCATGAAAGTATTCTAATCAAAATGTTACTGAATTATCTATGGATATTTTCAGTTATTTTTAATTTTAATATCAGTTTTTCTATTTCATTTAATTTTATTGAACAAACAAGTAATACATTATTTGTTATGATTAATAATTTGGATTGTTATCTATCTTAAATCTAAAATATAGAATTAATCTATTTAAGATTAATATTTATGTTAATATTGATTATAATTCAACTGTTAATTATTTGGGCAGGATTTACAATTTAGGCTAAATTTAAAAAATAACTATTGAATAGAAGTATTATTTCTAATACCTTGCTATATTTATATGTGTCAAATTATGCTGCTTTAATTAAATAGTAATTATATACACTATTATCTAGGTTCTGTTCTATCATTTCTAAAAGATAGATTTCATAAATTTCCTATATCTAAGGAGATGTATCTCTTCTATTTGGAACTCCTAATCATATATCCTGGATTATTTGCTTTGCGATACCAGGCCTAGGAATTTTTGGTCTCTTTATCCCTTTCTCCTTATTTTTTATTATGTACATAAATCGAGCATAATTGGATTAAATAAAACTCAGAAGACATATTTGCTATCTATTTAATGAATATAACAGTGAAAGTTATTATTGGGAATTAATTAAACTATCAAAAAAAACTATTATCATCATAATATTGACATATTTTGAAGGAAATATATTTTTTAAAGCATCACTTCTAGGTTTGTGTTTGCTGGTTTATTAAATGGCAGCAGTAAAACAATAACCTTATATTATTTCAAGTTTGAATTTCTTAGATGTTCAAACAGGGTAAATTTGTTCTATTACTATATTCCTTGCTGGAGCAAATTATGTATGTGAATAGGAAAATTACTCAAATTTATCATTACCTCTATAAATTTGTATAGTGCTTCTTTGTGTTAGATTATGTTACTCCTTTATAATAAACATTTTTAGAGTTTATTTAAAAAAATATAAAGTACTTTGTGTCGAAGTAATGTATAAAATTTGTAGATTTCTAAAAGCAGATTGTTTTCTTACTGTATATTTAAATAATCAACTCAAAAAACTAAATTAAAGAGAATAGCGTCTAAGAAATAATTTTATAAAAATGCGTTGTCATTTAATGTCAATGTCAAAGGCTTAGATAGGACATTAAAAGTAATATAGAATTATAAATAGGCAAATTATTTCATTGATTAATTCTTAATCAACAATCAGATATCGATAAACTATCGTAGATGTAGAAATGAACAAATTGATAAGTACTTGAATGGTTGAGATATGAATATATGGTATATATAAATTAAAAAGATTAGAGAATAATTTATTATATACTGATACATAATCAAAATTAATTTAATTTCATAATATGGATTTCATCTTTATCATTTCACTTTATGTTGTTAAAAAAAAGCAAGGTATATTCTAAAATATTTCTAAATATTCAATAGTATTTTATAGATTTTTCATTTATAACTATTCTAAAATAACATTAAATTTAAAATTTACTTATTTTATGGTTAATATTAGATATTTTATAAATTATTTAAATTTAATTTCATATTATTTTGAAATTATAGGCACAAAATATAAATTATTATATTTTTCATTTATTCGATATATAACACTAAATCTTCAAATTTTTGTTTTATTTCTTAGTCAAATTATACTTTATATTAATCAAATTAAATTAAAAGTAGTTTTCACAATTTCTTAGTAAATACAATTTTAATCCTTATAATAAATAAAATGAAATTCATAGTTGATAATATTATAATTTAAACTTATTATAAATTCATAAAACTCTACAACTTCAGGACAGAAAACTTTCCTATTATTGCTTTTGTTTTTTGCTAAAGAATTCAGAATTGAATTCAGTTATTGACCTTACCATGACATCTTTAAAACTGCAAAAAGAAGATTAGATTATTATTTATTTAAAGTTCTCTATTAAATAATTCAATATTATCAATGTATGAAGGATTCCAGTCTTCCAAAATTAGTTCTCTGAATATTTTTCAAAATCAAATTCTAATATTGAAATTCTCTCAATGTATATATTAAATATATTCATATTATCCTTTTCAAAATAGAAATTGATACTATTTGCCAAAAATAATGAAGCATTATCTATTTCACTTTCATAATCAGATGGAAATTTGATGAAAACCTGCAAAATTTATTTTATACAATTTATTCTGCTTTGAAATTAATTATAATTGGTATTTATAACTTAATCTAGAGCAGAATTTAATAATTCAAATATTTGATTAATAATTGATTCAGATTCTTCAACTTGATTCTTGAGCTTTTCAATCTTTTATAAAATTTCCAAATTCAATTCTGAATGACTTTGAATATTGATTTATTATAAATCTTTAGAAATTAAATTTATAGCATAAAAATAATTAAAGAGATGCCAATATAATGAGCGATAATATAAATTCTAATCTGAACTTAATTGTTTTTTTAATTNAAATAAGCTTAATACAACAACATTTAGAAAACATATATGTTATCTATTTAATGAGTATGATAATAATGCTTATTATTGGGAAGTAATCAAATTATCATTAAAATCTATTATTATTGTAATTGCTACATATTTTGAAGCAAATATATTTTTGAAAGCAGCACTAATAGGATTGTGTTTATTAATCTATTAAATTTTAGCAGTTCAACATAAACCATTTATTCTATCAAATTTAAATTCTTTAGATTTGTAGGCTGGATAAACTTGTTCAATAGCTTTATTTATTGTAGTTGCTAAATATGTTGCTGATTAAGAAAATGAATAGTTCTCATCTGTTTTTCTTTAAATAATTATCACTTTGCTTTTGATAAGACTCTGTCTCCCATTTATTGAATTAATAATCAAAGCATATATGAAAAAGTACAAAACAGTTTTAATACAATTGATTTATTAACTTTTTAAAGTTATAGCATAAAATTGGTCTATCACAATATGGCTTTAAAGGAAATTATAGAGTGAAAATTAGAAAAAAATAAAATTAATGACAAACATGAAAAAAATAAGACTGTCATTACTTCAGAAATAGAAAACTTAATATTTGTAATATTAATATTAATCATTAGATAATTTTCATCTATACAAAGTCCTTATTAATCATAATTAAAAAGTGAATAATTAAAAGGGTGATTATTTTAATGTACAAATTGGTTAATAATTTACATTAAATTTATATACTTTAATAAATGTCCCTTGATAATTTAATAAATAAATTATCATAATGAAAATAGCCAAATAATTTTTATATACTTATTAATTTTATAAGATAAATGAGTGTGATTATTCTTAAATAAATTATCCTTTAATTTATTACAATAATTGCTTTATTCAAAGCTTGCTTCAAATCAAAAATTAGATATTTTAATAAATTGCTAAAAGTAAGAAGATATTCCATTACCAAATAATATTGACAGTCAGTGTTCTTAGTTAAAAATTATTTATAAAAGTTATTTCTTTAATCAAAATCTACTATGCTTATTAAATTCATTGGAACTTACCATACATGTATACATGTAGTCTAATTTAAGTACATTCATCTTTTTCAGAGAGTTGAATTCTGAGGAAGTAATTAATTTTATTTAATTCCCTACATTTTTTTTATTTCTCTAATTAATAAAAATATTCTGCATCTAAATATATATAAAAATAAGTTAATTATAAATTGCAACAATAATTTTAATGGATTATATTTTTATTTTTTAAATATATTAATTAAACAAAGTGAAAATATTCTTTTCATTAAAAATTAAGAGTTTAAAGAAATATTAGATTAATAAAATATTTAAAACAATATTGTTTTTTGTAAATAATTATGAAATTAAAGAATTTCTAAAATAACAAATATTCATTA